ATGCCTCTGGTTCTGCCGGGACGGGTGCCTCACTCAGTGATATCAGAGTAGATACCATGACACAGAAACTTTGCTAGATTATGGATCTATATTCTTCACTGAAAACTCATTACCTGCAAAACAATACGCTAATGCAAGCCATATAATATTGACCACAGCCCAGGCCCAGCGGGCCAAGCGTTGATAGCCATTGACGATGTCATGTCCGATGATCCCCATAGCCCATCACTTTCTTGTTTTCATTTTGTTTCGTTTCACCTGGATAAGGGGAAGTAGTTACAATTTTGTTGGAGTACTGACGTCAGATCCTGACGATGAATCCCTACTCTTTTGATACGTTTGCGTGGAGAGTACAGCGTGTGTCATATTATTATGAGAAAGTAAAAAAAGATAGAACTTGTAGTGAGAAGTTTTGAAAGAACTCTTCAGCTGAGGGAGAGTAACAACACTTAGAGACGAGCAAGAGCGAGGGAAGGCATTTGAGATAGAGAGGGAAAGAGAGAGGTGAGAGAGAGAGAGGGAAAGAGAGAGAGAGAGAGAGAGAAAGAGAGAGAGAGAGAGAGAGGGGGGGGAGAGGTTTGAGAGAGAGAGAGAAGGAGAGAGAGAGAAAGAGAGAGAGAGACAGACAGACAGAGAGAGAGAGAGAGAGAGAGTGAGAACAAAATGCTGAGACTGAATAAAGAGCAAACAAGGAGGAAGCGATCCAAAAAGAAAACAAAAAAGAAAACAAAAAAGAAAACAAAAAAGAACGAAAAATTCAGAGACAGAATCTAAAGCAAGAGACCTAAATGAACAAAATCACTGACCAACAAATTCGCAGCGTATCCGAACCCTGTCCCTCAGGTTCTCGCTGGCCACCACGATAGCGTTGATGAGTGCCATCACTGTGGTCCTGTAGGTGGTCAAGTCGGACTGACGCAGCTCTGTCACCAGAAGGCTGAAGCGGTAGTGTTGCTTGCGCCACAACTGCATTGTGGGGGGAAACAACGAGGCAGTGTCAGGATTGTTACAGAAAATACCATGTAGTAACATAGCACATGATGGAGACTGTAAGCAGACAGACTCTGGAATGGATCCTGAAGAGGGGGGGGGGGGGCAGCAGAGATGGACATGTTCCGATAGTAGTAACCCCAACACTGTGGACAAGGTGTGACAAGGTGTGACAAGGTGTATAGAACTACCCAAGAATTACAAAGTTCTATCTGCTCAGTACCTAAGTTTGAAAATTTTGACGCAAACAATTTTGAGTTTCACACCATGTCCAGCTTTATTGAATGCAATTTTGAATAGAACATTGTATACTAATATATCTAGATAACGACTCTGAATAATCTTACGATTTTGAAATAGCAGATATTTAACATTTTGTTTCTGGCCTCATGAACTTAGTGGCTCAATACGTCCCAAAACGCCAGAAAGAACTTGGTAATTCTAAGGTAGTGACAGGACAACAGTGGGCAATCTTACGTTTTATGTTGTTTACCACAAAACTAAAGTGGCAGTGTTCAGATTATTTATTACAAAGAATGTGTTATGACGTGGTGGAATCAAGCGCTTGTCAATTTCTGGATATGTGGAGTTACGGTATCATCTTAAAACTCGTTCATTTGTCTATCTTTTGATTACAGAATAACCGTCAGTTATAAATAGAAATCGA